CGACGCTCTAGAAAGTCGGAGCTAAATCAATAATTTTCTTTTAGTGGTTTATCCTCAGTGGAATAAATTTTCGAAGTATGATTAATGTCGTAATAAAATGCTAGAAGCAATAATTTGAAATGAGAAAGTTATTTTTTAACAAAGTATTACATGAAACAGTGGGAAGTATAATTAAAAATGAAAGATTAAATTTAAATAACAATAGAAACACTTGCAAATATTTTATATAGAATATTAGATATTTGGTATATCGAATTTTCTTCATTATACTGGTATCGTTTGAAAAATGATGTTTCAAAAGCTGTATTACTTTTTATGAAGAAAAATAACGAGTTTATAATCTTTCGTCGAAGCCTAATTTTCAATTGTATCACTATAGAATGTATTAAAAATAACAAACGTTATTTCCGTAAAAGCAGTCGGTATTTCTGCGAGAGGTTTTTAAACTTTCATTTATCCTGAGACATAGTTCCGTGAACAGAATGAATTATCTCCCTACTGAACGTATAAATGATCTATAATCCTCTCAGGAAAGCCCTACGACTCGTCGAGAATGAGATTACATGTAAATGTAGTCGCTTTATCTAGAGCCTGTTTCCTGTCTGCTTGCCTTATGGCTGTTTTACTAATAAAATATTGTAACTCTTTTCTATGCTAGTTTTCATTTTAATTTATTGCGAATATTATAAATTATGATTCGCAAAAGTAAACTTTGCAATCTTAAAGGAATTGTTCATATTGAAGCAAAATAAAGTCATCAAAGGACAATTTAACTGTTTCAATATTTTTATTACAATAGTAATTATAAAATTCAAGCTTATTAGTAATTATTAATAATTTAACAGTAGCGATTGTTGTATTACTTGATAAAGAAGTATGCATATAATCGGAGCAATCCATAGCTATAGTAATATAAAATATAAGTTATATATATAAATAAAATAAATAATAATTATATTATGTAATTTAATTAGTCAATGCATAAATAATTAAAATAATATTTTGTATTTTTTACTGGTTATTCTTTGTGAAACAGAAAGTAAGAACAATGGTTTGTGTGTTACAGATACTTACTGATCGTAATGCCCTTTAACTTACTAGGCATGAAATCGAACGACATTTTATACAACCCAAATCCATTATATCATACAGCTGGTGGAATGATTGGAGTAGGTTTCGCAATTCTCAAAGGTATACCAACCGTCTTAAGGACCAAGTTCTCAGTGTCGGCTTATTGGACAGATTGCATCAAATATAATTGTACCGTAGGTGATTTACAAAATTTCTAGACTTTATAGCGATCTCAGTGAAATTAATGCTTCACAAAATTGGATTTCCTGATACTTTGCTCTTCGTCACGATATTGATTAGACTGTTGAGAATAGAAAGAACAGCTGTTAGTGGACGAGTATAAGCTACATAATTTAGATATTAGAATTATAGAAATTTTAGTCCTTTTAGTAAATTTTAGTAAGTTTTGATATCTTATACAATTTAATTAATTTACTGATATCGTTAATACCTTTAAGATACTCGACGTATCCTAAACATTTCCATTCATTAGAAATTATCTGTAAATTTACATAATGATTTAGAAGATTTTCTCTATCATAATGCGTTTTTAATTATTAAATTTAGTGCAATATGTGTGATATAATAATTAAATACTGTATAATATTTTAAAGTAAGAAAACCCTTGTATTGGATTGTAACTTTGTTTACCAGGTGGCACAATATGTCGGCGAAATGTGCCGATACGTGCTGAATGCACCACCTAAACCAGAAGATAATGCGCATCGTTTAAGACTCATGTTTGGTAATGGTATGAGGCCACAAATCTGGAGCGAATTTGTCAAACGCTTCAATATTAATCGAGTGGCTGAATTCTACGGATCCAGTGAGGGAAATGCCAATATTGGTAAGATTCAAAATTTTAATAAATAGGAAATTTCCTACAAATAAGGAAAATGTACAATAAAGATATCTGAACAATTTTTCAATAGAGAATAAAGAAAATTGTTTATTTTGATCATTTTTATGCATATCAATCTAAAATTTGTGATAATTATATATTTTCATATTACTAATTTATTTAATTGTAAAATTTAATTTTAATAAAGTATTGCAAATATCATTTCATCATACTTTGGTACAATTATATACTTTTCATGTTTTATCGGAGTATTTCAATAATCTTTTATTTCTATATTACAGCCAATTTAGACGGTCGAACTGGCGCGGTCGGTTTTGTACCACTAATTGTGCCAAGAGTGTTCCATCCTCTAGCAATTATTCGTGTAAATAATCAAACATACGAGCCTATTAGAGGTTCGAATGGTTTATGTATAAGAGCAGAAACAGGTAAAAATTTTGTTTTAATTACATAGATCTTTACGATGACGAAATCAGAAATGAAAATAATTTTTACTGAAATAAAGAATTTGGTTTTACTGCGTTAAATTTATTTTCGTGGAAGATTTATTCGTATAAGTCGATCGTTAAATTACCAATTTACAGTAAAGAACGCTTTATAAAAATTAATTTTTTTTTTAATAAAGGTGAACCAGGAATGTTCATTGGATTAATAAAAGAAGGAAACGCGTTAAGAGAATTCAACGGTTATTTAGATCAAGAAGAATCGCAAAGAAAAATAATACAAGATGTATTTGTTAAAGGTGATAAGGCTTTCTTGACGGGTAAGTTATTTTTGAAGACTAGTAAGAGTGCTATAATTATTAAACCTCAATGATTTAACTGAAAATATGTTTCGGTATGATTTTTATCTTTTATCAATTTTTTTTTTAGGTGATATTTTAGTAGAGGATGAATGCGGTTATATTTACTTCAAAGACAGAGTAGGTGATACATTTAGGTGGAAAGGAGAAAATGTTGCTACTGCAGAAGTGGAAGGAGTTGTCAGTAATATTGCGGGAAAAAGGGACACTATCGTTTACGGAGTTCAGGTTTGTTATAAAAAATAATTTCTTTGATTATATAAACTATCGATACCATATTCTCAAATATTTAATAAAAAAAGAGTATATTTGATTATTAAGAAATGTATGATATCTTTCAATGAATTAAAAATTTTATTTAAATTTAAACTTACAAACTAATTTGATATGAAGGTACCTGGAATGGAAGGAAGGGCGGGAATGGCAGCAATAGTTGACCCAGACAGTCTTTTGGATTTTAAAGCTCTTGCAGAAGGTTTAGAGAAATCGCTTCCAGCATACGCGAGACCAATTTTCTTGCGAATTGTGAAAGAACTTGAAATAACTGGTACATTTAAGTTGAAGAAAATGAATCTTCAAAAGGAAGGTTTCGATCCGAGCAAGGTGAAAGATAAGATGTACTTTTTATCTGGTAGTAAGGAATACATCGAAATTACACCAGAACTTTATCAAGAAATCATCTCGGGAACGAGAAAGTTTTAGTCGTCATACTGTTTTGCGAACGACACATAATCGTCAAAAATACTTGGAAAAGTAGAGACGAATATATAACTTTTTTTTACAACATGAACATGACTTTCTGCACGCGCCTTGTAGATACAATGCATAGGATTTTATGTAATAACATCAAGCATGTGAAACCATAGGAACCATAGGCGGAAGTTCATTGGATTTATAAAAAAGGAGTGGAGAGAGTTATTTTTACGGGCGCTCAAAAACAGAAAAACAGAAATGAAGCTTGTTACGTAGTGAGAAAAAAAAATTACAATTCTGTCATCAACGACGAGAGACGAATATGGTGACATGTTCCTGTTTATTTTATAAATGCTCTGTACATTTTTAATCAAATGAAACGGTCCGTAGTATAAGACAAATTGGCATTGTAGATAGAAAGATACCAACGAATAAAATCATTCTTAACGTGTAACACTGATTTTTCGTAAAAGAAGATACCTTATTTGTGAAGCACACAAAAATTTCTCAGGACTGTAGCCAAATCTACTTGTGGCTATCAACCAATTAAAAAGAAATAAATTTCTTATGTCTGCAGTATTTATTTTAAATATGTAACTTGTCACAACACCGTATGTCGTTTGCAAATTTATTATTTATATGTGGTTCAATTTGCACTCGTCCCGTTTGCGTTTATATCAAAATGCCGATAGGATTAAAAAAAAAAGATGTGAATATATATTATAATTAAACATAATATTATATATAAGCTCAATTAATTATATTAGCTCCGTCATCAAGAAATAATAGATATATATAAGTTTGTTAAAAAGGATTAACATTTATCCAAACATAATTTCACTTCCACTTTAAACTACTTAAAGTAATAGTTTATTGTAGCTAGAAATTTTCTGTATTTAATATACGTTTTAATAGCGCACTATATTATCCGTATAGTCGACTATGGTAACGGTGTAACTAATTACTTTCAATAATTTTTGTGTTAATAGAATCTCAAATTCTCATTTGTCTGTATATCCAATCCTTGTAGATTTGATACTTGAAATATCGTATAGATGTTCTTAATTCTGAATTATTTAACAACATTCACGTTAAAATTTGTATAGATGATTAATAAAATTATAATACGTATTTTACAAAATTTTGCTGCTAATCTTATTAATTAATTTATTGTCTTCGAATAATTGTCTAACGAACTCTATTTATATTTTTATATTTAAGAAATTCCATCAGTGTATTTAATATATGATAAATCTAGAAATTAGTCTTTGAAAATTATATACTTCGCGAAATTTCCGATTTAAATTTTATTTTTCAATTAGAGTAGATTATATACAATTTATAAAACTTTATAAAATTATCAATTTCATTATTTATTAGATATTATTATCGACTTGTATATTATTAATCAACAAAGTATAAATATAGGTTGTTGTAAATAAATAATTACAATTCATATAACGTATAACAATTTAATTTATTACTTAATCATATAATATTCAAGTATTTTCTTAAAAATAATACTTTTACTAATTTTAAAAGTTATATCAGAGTTGTAATTATATAGTGTCTTTTTTTATGCTATCAACAAAGAAAAAAGAACAAAACAAAAATATATATATGAAGTCAAAATGAAATAAAATAAAGAAAGAAATAAAAATAGAATTCTTGAAATTTATTGTATTGATCAAATCTACAATATAGAATATTCAAGTCTAACCACAGTCTTAATTCACAATCGTTTCATATCGCATATTTTTCTATTTAACACTAGAACTACCAATTCAGTCAAAATAAGTGGCCCCAGAATTTTCCTTTTTGGAATTGTTAAAAACATATACCTGATTTTAAACAAATTGGCGTCGATACCGCCAAAATTACTATTATTTATGCCTGCTATGTTTAAGTACGCATTTAAGGTCGGTAATTCTAATGTCAAATAAGGTACAGTGTAGTATCGATAGTCTTTATTCATGATTACAAATTTTATTACCGTTAAAATAATTTCACAAGATTCACAAAATTAATATGATAAATAAGTGACAACCATTCGATATAGACAATAAGTGAAAAAATTAAATAATGCTTTTATTAAAAAATTATTTTTTTGATTTCGTGTACTTTAATTGTGTCTATAGAAACGTCATCGTATTATTTACAAATATGAACATGGCACAACTGCAATGTTCACATCACAAACAATAATTATGGCAATTATATCTAGCTTCATTCTTAACAAAGCCAAGACAGGTTTTTTCTAATATTTATAACCGACCATGTTTAAAATACCTTAAATTGCTTTAAAGAATCCTAAGTTGCTCACATTATATAACAATGACACAACCATTTTATATTTTTTAAGTTATTTCAATTTATATTGTTTAAATGTAAAATAGTTATAATGATAAGGTATATGATACAACAATTTTTGTAAATTTTTGTATGGTCAAAGTATTAAGAAATGATAAATTTAATATCGAATTTAATGATAAAGTGCTTCATATTATCCTATGTTTGTATACCGAAGAGAGCTTAAATATAACTTTTGCATATTGAATATTGCAGAATGATCGTATATATACTAGCATTTGTATACGAAAGAAACGTATGATACTATACGCTGCATATACACAGTTTTTACTAATTCATTTCATAATGCCAGTGTAGATGACGACTGTCAAAATTTTTCTATATTCGACTTACAAATTTGTCTAAATAACATTTGGTGCTACATATTTTATTGGGCGTCTTTGAAGCTAGCTGCGATCAATATCTGTAGCCCACGCGAATAAATTATATATGTATTATAAACGCTAAATATTTTACAAAATTTATGAAATTCCTAGTTTATAAATTTTTTTTATCTTTTTTTCCCTAATCCTTCAAATATTCATAATCACTTGCGATTGATCATCGACGCGACACAATTTTTCGATTTTACCCACGAATTTGTGGCCACTTTTAAAATACTTATAGGAAGGGAAATTTGTTTCAGCTATCAGCTAGGCGGTATAGCTTTGGCAGTTTGTCCAAAACCTAGATTAGGCCGTGTACCAAACCATGACATTTTCCACTCTAAAGTTTCTTGCAATAACCGCTCCTCTTCGGGTGAAAAATGTAAAAGAGTAGCGACTGCTCTCGTTAAATGAAGAGCCTGAAACAAACAAATAAAAGCTAAATTAAAAAATAATTAAAAACCTAAATAAATTCCATAGAACTGAAGTGTGAGAAAATATTACATTTTATAAACACCCTAGGTATTTTTTTTATATTAAATTTAAAAAAAATATATTTAACCATTTTGTTTCTGATAATTATCTTACATATTATAATTCAAAAATTGATACATCAAATTTACCTCATATTCCCTACTTGTTAGGAACTTTATGAGAACATGTTTAAGGTATTTAAAGTTAACATCTTCATCTCTTGTGCTATTATGTCTGGCAGTGACTGTTTTCGACGAACTGGGTTTAAGAATTGCCGCAGATGGTTCAGCATCGCTATCCAGCGATGAAGATGGAACTCTCAACTCTCGCTGAAGGGTCTTCTTCATATCGGTTAATCGTTGCTGTAAAACCTTAATCGTCTAAAAATAAATTCAATAATTAATGTTTTTCTAAAATATATTTTGAAATTCCTATTTTTCTCAAATTCTACCTTCGTCTTCTCATTTAATTGTTCTTCCAAATCCATTAAATTATTTTTAAGTAATTTCTCATTTCTCTCCATTTTCTTCCTATTTTGTTCCATTTCTTCCAATTCCAATACCCTCTGTTTAGTTTCTTCTAGTGTCGTCGTTACTTCTTCTATTTCTTTACTTTTACTTTGTAAATTGTGCTCTAATGTCTCTACCCTAGTTTGAAGCTCTATGTTTTCCACTTCTTGTCGTCGATTACTCTGTTTCACAATTTCTATCTCTTGAGATACTTGAGCATTCCTTAGCAATGCAGTATCCTTTTCATTTTTCTCTCTTTCTAGGCATACTTTCAACGTTGCTGATGCTGTCCTTTCGGATTCCAGATCTTCTCGTAAACGCGCTACTTCTAAATGTAAAGAGGAATTATTCGTTCGTTCTCCTTCCAGAGTGATACGAACATGGGCTAATTCTGAAGTAGCAGTTGAAAGTTTTGTTGTTGCATCTTCTAAGTCTCCCTTCAGCCGCGAAATCTGTTTTGACGAGGATTCCTGACGAAAAAAGAAAAGCAAACAACAAAATAATATGAGGCAGTATCTAAAATTACGTTCAGTTAAAACAATTGTAATTTAGTTCAATTAATAATTGAATTTTGTTAAATATCCTGTATTATCCATATCTTTGGAATTTATGGTACAGTGCATTTATTTTGTAAATTTATTTTATAGAATGCTGATAAAATTTAAGCAAGAAACAGTGATACAGGAAGATTTCGTGAAATTAATTAATAATTACATTTTTATAAATGATTGAACTAAACTAAAAATTTGTAGATTAATATAAATTGGCTAAAAATATTTTCAAAATATTTTATACTTTATACAAAGCATTGTGAAGTGTGCTAAATCAAATTTTTAGTTAATAATAAAAAGAAAAAAGAAAAAAAGCATAGTTGATATATTTTGTTAGTATTATAATAATTACGTTTGAAATAAATAAGCTGAGATACAATATAGTAAAATATTGAATGAATACGAAGGAAATATAGAAAAACGTAGAATATTTCAGTGGAAATTCGTCTTATATCAAATTTCAAGTTGCGCCATTAATTCCAAAGTTCAAACCTGTAAAAAATTTTAATTTAATTCCAAAGTTCAAACCTGTAACAAATTTTAATTTAAATACACTTGATTAAATCAAAAAATTTGTTGCAATAACTTCCGACTTTTCGGTAAGATTTTCAATGGTGTTCGATCATTCTATCATCTATACTACACAATTTTTCTCTGCATTTCCCTTTAGTTGTATTTGCCTGGATACGCATTCCTAATATTTACAGCAACGTAAGTATAATCGGACTGTGTCAGTGGTGTACTGTACTGTAAGAAAAAAATCGTGTACACATTCGTGTGTGTATTAATGTATAAAAAGCTGCTTGAAAAAGGGGGGATATAAAAATGGGTTAAAACAAGCACAAAAACCAATGAAATAAACAATATAATTTATTTGTTCTTTTCTTTATTCCACAAATAAAATATACAGAAATGCGATCGTACATAAAAATATCATTGTTGATACTATCTAATTTTCATGTACAAACACACGCAAAGTGGAAATATAGGGTTTTAAAAACTTGACTACATTATTTTTGTTTATTGGTACGTGATGCTGATGTCGATAAAGTATAATATACATAGTAAAAGTTTTGCATGCTTATAAAGATAAATAAAAAAATTATAAACAAAAAAATGTGCTAGTAGATATGCGTAAAAAAACGTTCTGTGCGTTAAGCGTCAAGCATCTTAGAAATAACATGCAAGTACATAGGCGATATGTAGTTTTCAATTACAAATTAACACACGACTCTTTCTACGCGTTTATGTATACGCGTTCCAGTGTTTTTACACTTACAGTGTAACGTCATAAACATTCAATACTTCATAAAATTATTAAAACGTAGTTATTTAAACAACTATGATAAACTAAGAAACAAACATATCTTTGTATGACCACAGTTAATTAATTAACAAGTAAAAAATATTAGTCGAGACTATCATCACATATCATCCTTTTCAAGCATAGAAACAAAAAAGCTATAACATTATTTACGTGGGAAACTTCATCGTTACGTAAATTATTAGAAGATTTGAAAGACTATTATTCGATACTGTGGTCATTTGAAAATTACCACTTGACAAATAAGGAATGCTCGTCTTTTTTGTATTTCAAAATCTAACAGGACATCGTTTTCAAAACAATCTAGCCCATGCATGACTACATATCGCGGTAACTCACAATTTGTCGTTTAAATTCGTCCACCTCATCATCGACGCTGGCCCGGAGCTCTTTTAGTTCCGTGGCCATCTCGTCAATGTCCTCTGCCATGCGCAAAAGCTTGGCGTCTTTCGTCGCCATGACAACAATGTTCACCTCTATTTCAGCTTCTAGCTGCTTGATCCTTTGCTTCAGTCTTTCACTTTCTTCTTCAACTCGTCTTCTTTCCAAACCTTCTTCACCAGCCTGTCTGCTAAGTCTTCCAACTTGTGTCTCCAAACTAGATATTTTTCCTGACCAACTAGTCTTTATATCGGATAAATGAAGATGTGCCTCTTCTAACTTCCTTTCTAACAATGCTCTTTCTCTCATAAGGTCAGCTATTCTTTCATCCACTGTCACCTGATCATTACTCTCTAAAGCAACTCTTTGTTCTAACACAAAAACCTTGTCTTTCAGATGACGTACTTCTTCTTCAGTTTGTGCAAGTTGACAGGATAGTTGAGCTCTCTCACGCTGAGTAGAATGACGTAGTGTCTCCATTTCATCCTGAAAATGTTGATATTATTAGCAAAAATGTCTTCCTATATGTTTATCATTATTACATTTTGCTCTGTAAAGCTTCATTGCAAACCTTACCAAAGCATTGCTAATATATAAAGATGAATAAAACATTACAAATAATCCAAACCTTATGAAGCCAAGAATAAGCAAATGATGAATCTGATGATTAATGATAATAATGCTGAAAGTGAACAAAGTGAAATAAAAAAAAATTTATGAAGCAAAAATAAATAGTGTCTAATATATTTTTTGTTCAAAAACTGTTGAAGTCTTCAATAAATTGCTACAACTGAATATGTCAAAAAGTTAATTTTATAAGAGACATTTAATTATTCGAAACAATCAGTCCACGTTGTTACGAGAGTAACAACATTGGAGTATGAGTACTGCAGTAGATACAGTTTAGACATCTTAAATAAAATTATATTATAATATGACAAGGAACTTTCTTGTTACCATTAAACCATTTCCACTAGTTGATACATGCATTTCTCCTATGTTATAAAATTTTGCACCAAGGAGAGAATTACATAAGGAGAGAATATATAAAGAACAACACTGATGTAAGTAAAATCTATAGAAGTTATTTATGTTGCAGAATAGCAGCAAAGCTTTGAAGACGTACCTCTAGCATCAGCGGTAGCAGCAGCGAATTAGCGGAAAATACCGCCTACTCTGATCTCCAATGCTCTCGTTTATCAAAGTTTTCCAATCTTCATGCGTATGTTGTTTTCACAAAACTTTCACTTAGACTTTGCTCATGTTCCATAACCAATAGAAGAACATTGTTCTTTCACAATTTTTTTGTACTCAACAAAATGTTTGCTCTTTCCCAAACTAAATTTTAATAAAATGGAAGCAAATACTTCCTGCCAAATATTGGAGGTACATTTTAAGAGTACAAATAAGAGTTATGGAACATATGCTCATTTGTTTTATTTTAAAATATATCCCAAATATTCTAGATATTCAAATAATTAAGGCTCTTGACTAAAAGTCACCTGTTCATCATAGATTGATACTATGTGTCAATACAAAAAATGTGCAGAAAAAACATAGCCAATCGTGACAAAACAAAAAGCTATATATAAAATTAAAAAAAAAAAAAGAAAAAAAAAGGAAAAAAAGAGGAAAAAATAGTGGGAGGCTTAAAAACAAAACTAATTTTTAAAAAGAAGCGTGCTTATACTTAAAAAATATGTTTATGATAATTATTTTCATAAAAGACTACATGATTGATAATCAGTACTATAAGGACAAATAATCTTTTAAAAAACATCATGATAGATATAAAAAGAATTGACTTCTTCATGCAGCTTTATTTTTTCTTTTTCATTAAAAAATATTATAAATAAATTTATAACACAGTATGCAATGTATGGAAAGCTAGTCTTGAAAAATTAATCTATATTTATGATAAAATAATATGCAATATTTGTTTTAAAAACAAACTGTTATTAAATTATTTATGTAAAATTACATATATACATAAAAAATTAATTCATTTGCAGGAAGAAATAGTTCGCATTTATTAGAAACAATATTATTACAACAAGAACAAATTTAAATCAAGATCTTAAAGTTCAAGAACAAATTTTAAATATCACTTTATCTGTCTACTGATTTCTATATGCTATGATTCCTTAATAGTACAAAGTATGGCTATTGTTTCGTAAAATATAATATTCATACTATAAATAACATAATTTATGATGTTTAAGAAATAATTTATTTTTCCTTAAAATATAAACTGTAAAACTCTGCAAAGTCATGTATAAATATACAAAGTATATAAAGTAAATATAAATATAAAATACTAGATGTAAGTAGTTGTATATATTTATGTATAATTCAATGTTCAATATAGAATATTTTTATGCAGAAGAAAATTTAAAATGTATTTGAAAATAAAAGATGTATGTAAATATACTTAAATTAAATTTAAAGTATGCTCTATGTTTACTCACTTAAATGATGTCAATTAAGCAACTTATATTAACACAATTATATTGAATAATTATGTTAACATAATTTTGAAGTTCATAGCATATTTTACGTGATAATCAAAATCAAATAAATAACTCACCTGTACATTGTTTAATTCATCTTCATATCTCCTAAGACGAGAAACTTCACTTTTTAAACTCTCAATTTCTGCAGTGGCTGATTTTAAATGATGTGTCTTTTCTTCTACTTCCTGTTCTTTTCCCAGTAACTTAATTGGAAAAAGAAATAAACAAAATATATTAATAAAAAGATATAGATAAAATAAATAATATTAATATTTCTTTTTCAAAGAAATTAAAATATACAAAAAACATACTAGGTGTTTTATTTTTGCCATTTCTTGAGTTTGAAATCCTTCCAGTTGTTCTGCATCTTCTTGAAAACTATACAATTTTTTCTTGTACTCTGAAACACAATAATATAAATAATAATATAAAATGTAAAAGTACATACAAATATAAATATTATTCATATGTAGCTGTGGACAATTTATTAAATTAATGACATATTTCCTTTTTCTATTTTTATTCAATTTATCATCATGTCACATATTTTATTTACCATTATAATTTATGAAAAGTAACATTACTTTACTTTTCTTCCTTTTTTTTAAAAAATTTGTATCATATTATTAGTTACAAATGTACCTTCAGCATCTTTAAGAGCCAATTCCAATGAATGTTTTGTGCTTTCTACTTTCTTTAATTCTTCTTCCAATTTGTTCTTTTCTTTCTCTTGTTTTTCAACTATCTTTTTCCATTCCTTTTCTTTTTCAAGGAGTTTTACTTTCCATTCCTCTTTTTTCTTTTCCATTTGTTTTATTAATTCTGCCTCCTTTTTTGCCAATCTTTTTCGCCATTCATCTTCTCTGTTTTCAAGTCTTTTAATATCTTTAGCAGAAAGTTGCATATTATCATTTAATTTAAGATCAAAGCTATTATCTTTTTTTAAAGAAACAGGTGGGGAAGGAGAAGCTGTGTTTTCTTCATGTGATCCATCTAATGAAATTTGAGATCCACTGATACTACTTGTGGATCCTGCCTAGAAAGAAATATTTAAATTAACTTCATTTATATTACTATAATAATACAACATATTATTATATTGTAATTGTAAATTTGTAAAAATTTTTTTCCATTCATCTTTCTAATTTTATTTTAAATTAATTTGTTATAGACAGAAATCTTTTTTTAAATATTACGATAATAAAAAATATCTTTATACTAATATAACTAAAGTAAACAATATAAACTATCGATAAGAAGACTAGTCTTGTAATTATGGAAAATCGAATAACGCATGGATATAATATTAATGAATCATCTAATAAACAGATATGAAGAAATAATAAGCAACATAAAACTTAAAATATTACCAGTACTTCGTTAAATATTAATGATGGTTTAAAGTAATCATCAATCGAAGAATGAAGAATAAACCGTTTATAAATAGTATATTTACAGATGCGATATCTCTTTTACACTGATAACAGTTACACAGAAATACATGTTTACCTGAGACATATGCCTCGAGTTAATACCACGCACACTGCCGGCATTTCTAACGACAGTTAACACGTCACTCCCGATTTCTTCTCGTATTTTGTCTTTTAGCGTTGCAAACATGATGCGATAACCTCCAATGAGACGAGCAAAAAATGTCAACTACCACCTGTCAATGTCAATATTGTGCTGATTGTGCTATGCCCGTCTACCGGAGCAATATTAAAGGGAAGAGAATAAAAATATAATGTGCTAATAATTCATTCTTTACTAATGCATCGCAATTTGATTCGACTGAATCATGCTTAAATAACTGCTGTACACACAGTAACAAAAATTTTGCACACATCTAAACGTCACATTAAGGACAGACGACTGCCATACTGCTCAGTCACTTCGATAATCACTGGTTTTAAAGTTCGACATATGTATAGGTAGTGTCACCTGTTTTAGAAAATTAGCACAACGTGTACAGCGCGAAATGCAAATAACCAAGTTGCAGTATTCCACGAAAAAAGGAGAATAATAACAATTTACAAGAATAAGATTGTACGATACTAAAATTGGCTCAACATGTGTATGATTCAACCAAAAAAGACCGAGAACTTTGCACTAAATAGATACAGCACTTTTTATCTTCTCATGTGCAAAGATAATTACATAATGTCGTCACTGTTTTATTAAATGGTCGTTTTACCGTGACTCACGTTATTATACTTATTAACCAATAAAATTATCGGTACACTAGGAATATTTTATTTTTATGCTACATGTGAATGTTGGTAGAATTGATATGGGAAATAATATACATTGTGCATTTAGCGCATCTAGTGGAAGCATTTGGAGTTAATGTTTTTAAATTTGACGGTTTGAAAGTGTACGTGGGTTTTCGGTTTTCATATATTATTTGGTGATGTATGTTGTGAAATTAGATAAAAATGGAGGATTTCATGAACGAAACGGCTGCTCTAAGAAATTATTTAGATGCGTGAGTAAATTTAATATAATTTTGTATATCGTGCAATGTTATTTTTGTTTCTCATAGCGGGGGGTTTTTATTTACATACGCATTAATGTCTTTTTAATATTACTTTTTATTATATGATGCTTTAATTTATGTTTTACTTTATATTCTTGATACATTTTATAAAATTACAAAATTGCATTGTTATAATACTTACATGTATTTAAAGTAGCTTATGTAACATATACATTTTGTAAAACAGTTTATAGTAAACTAAAATTTGTTAAGAAAATAAAAAAGATTTATTAGTTATATTTACACTATATTGTTGCATTTTATATTTTATATAGTAATATTTAGAAAAGCATCAGCAAGCTTAATACGACAGGAAACAGTTTTACCGACGCTTTGCATATGGTCTCCCGTTAAGGAACAAATTTCTTTTTTAAAATAATAATTTTTTCTTGTCTCTGTGGGTGTGTCAATTTTTTTACGTCTGAAAAATTTTTATTTCGTTCCAGTAAATGCCATTATATTTATAAAATCACATATGTATGTATCTACATGTAATTTTTTAGAACTATCTTTTAAGGTTAGAAACGAGTGTTGAGGTTAATAATATGTTATATCATTTAATTGTTGTTTTTATCTTTTGAATTATAGGTATGTTATTAAACACGATTTTAATTTTTCAAAGCAATCATATACTAGCATTATTGTTTATAACAACTATAAAGGTAGACTGTATGTATTTGTATGTAATATATTGTTATTTAATATCATTTCATTGAATTTTTGTTTATTCTAATTAAGAATGTAGAATAAAGAGGAAGATAAAAGTACATTTATTAATATATTAGAAATGTAAACAAATATACTTAACGTTTAAATGAAAATATTTAAAAATATCATATTCTATAGTTGAGACTAAGTAAATTGTGCGATTTTTATAAAATTGTTTAAGAGGAAGCTGTGTTAAACTTTTATAACTATTAATTGTAAGTGTATAATATAATAACCGATATAAAATTATATTCCGTGGTTTATATTGTATATTATTCTACTGTATATACCTAAAGTAAAGACAAAAAATATTCAAACCAAACCATGTAATGTATTGGTCAATTTAGTTTTTTTATGTTATGTGTAATATACGGATTTATTCTTTGTTTATTTAAACAATGATTATCTTAACAGGCAGGGTTGGAGGTCAGTGCTCATTTTAATCATTCTTAGATTTAATTTACAATGTTGAAATTTAAAAATTAAATAGAAAATACAGATGTATCAAATATAATTACCAAATATATTTAATTGTCAATGATAATTTTGAAAAGATGTTTATTAGTAATAATTTGCCCTATGATTTTGTATAAGTAATGGAATTGAAATTACTTTCAATAAGTTTTATTATTTGTTTATTGATTCATCTGGAGTATACCTGAATTTATCGTTACGATTAGTCGCAAATGGTAATATCCACTATTCAGTAAGAACTACGACACATTTTCACGATTACAAAATTTTTGATAGACACCCAGGAAACATTTACTACTGCGATTGTTAACTGCCCGAAGAGAATTACGATTCAACGAATCGTTCACCCATAAGACGAGTTTTTATCAGAAGAATAGAATCATAAAATGATAGGCAGATAAAGCGACTATTACTCGGTATGTAATCTACGGTTATTTTATGTGTCAGGAATTCACGGAATTATATGCGAATGGTAGAAAATGGCTCGAATGTGCGTCAGGTTAAAAAGTTTTTATGAATTTATTGAAAACTTGCTCGTAATAATTCGTAACCACCATGTACATAGTACATTACGTAAAATTATTAGAAGATTCTTATATTTTCTTATAATTTCCAATTATATCACAATATACTATATATATAATACATACTGTATAATAATAACATAATACATATAATGTAATGTAATATAATATAATAGTAAATATATGAAATTTATAATATAACTTTATATCGGAAATGTAGAAAATTAAGTATCGCAATGTAACTTTATATTATACTATAATTATATTACAATACACTATATGTAATATATTATGTTTGGATAAATAGGTACATTGTACAAGCTTCAAACACATCTGTCTCGATAAAAGTCCTGAAATGTCCCCAATCATCAACACCTCCACTATCACTCCTACGCCTCCAACTCAAGATTTATATCGCCATCATACACCGAAATCGATCGCAGTCATTTCCAATTATTCACCACCACCACCATCACCACCACTATCATCGTCTCCTCACCGACCCCCAATTGAGAGACACTGTGTTTGACCGATGCGTTTGTCTCTTTACAACCCTGCCTCTCTATCTGTTTTTGTCTTTCGACTCTCCCTCCGTTCATCGTTTGCTCTTTATCTCTGCTCCATCGCCTCCCTTCGTCGCCCCGATTGGCCCGTTCGGCTGGGGTCCATGCGTCGGACTTCGTTGCTCTTCGACCAGCCGCACGAATCTTCCGACCTTAAACCCTCCGCTCGTGCCTCCCCTCGATCAGAACGCGAGCCGTGTCGCCGCCTGGCTGCCTTCAGTTGCGTTCAATCTATTGCTAGAGTAGGAGCTTTCGTGGTGTCACGTGCAGTGTCCACAGTGTCTTCGTTTCGCTTCGTTTCTTTTCGTTTTCGTGGCAAGTGTGCACGCGCATTGTCGATAACTCTGGCCGGACCGAGGGTTCGTAGCTTCCTTCTAATCGTCGTACAGTCGGGAAGGAAAGTCCGTTTGATTCGTAAGTTCGCGCCAGTCAGTGTGCTTCAGATCCGTGGAAACGATGGAAGACGATAGACGACCGGCCAGAAATCTACTCTTACTTTTCTCTAAGAGGACTGTGCTAAAATACAAACTGCTGATTCAGTGACAGGGTGCTGAGTTCTTTGACACTCGACGCATGCCGGACTGCGTTCTCGTCTTCTCGTTTCGAGCCTGTTTGTTGGATGCACGGACTAGACCCGAGTCGAAGGAAAAAGTGTTTGGCGAACAGGAAGGAGTGCGTTGGGACACACAGTGCGTGAATCATCTGGCGTGTCATCTCGAGCGAGAGTTATCTGCGCATTGATCGGTCCAGGAGCATATAGGTCGGCCGTGGTAACACAGATTCGCCGAGGAAATTACTTTTTCGACCGTTCATTAGGTCACGACAGCGAACTCCGCGCGAACGATCATCGGAAGGGCATCTTTCGGTGCACGTTTCCAATAAGACTGACGGAAGGACTTTCATCCGCGTTGATCACGTATCGCGCTGATAATGCTCGCCTGAAAGCCCGAGTACATTGACACTCTGTGCCAAAGAAACGTGCCAAAGCGGTTCATTGAGAGTACAAGTTACCTAGTATTATTCTCGAACCCTTGTTATTATTATCGTTGTTATCATTGTTATCCTTGTTATTATAGTTTTACTCGTAAGTTCGTTTTATACACGCGTGCTTTTATACGTGACTCTCTCTCTCTCTCTCTTTCTCTTTCTCTTTCTCTCTTCTTCCCTATTTGTCCGGGGACTGTGTTTCATTCGAACGGGAAGTCGCATTTCTTCGTGTACCGATGAGGAACAATTACCGCAATATGTTTTTTGCCGGCTACGGATATTCCAATCAACATCAAAACAGCCCACCCTCGCCGACCAGGTCCAGTGTCTGGGGTAGCATTTACAGTCCGTTTCGAAAGTAAGTATCCGTTGATTCCTCTGCAGCGTGAGACGTGATATAGCGGGATAGTAAAATCGCCCAGTAGTAATACGCGTGTTTCGGGTGCCGCACGTCGTGTCAAAGGAATTACCAGAAATATCGGCACATAAGGACGATGCCTTAGCCAGGGCCGTACGAAGAGATTTCTCTAGTCGGAGTCAATGTACCTTCTATCGTGCTAGGACATCGAAGGATTTATATTTACATCACGATTTCTCTTCCTTGTTTTCTAATGTGTTCAAATGGATATTTCAAATTGATGGAACTTTTTGTTGTTCGTATATGGATAGTGGTAAGAGTAGAATTATCGAGTCGTATAACGTATATTCGAGCATACGGCACGTAAGTGAGAATGGTGCAAATAGATAGGTACACTTAACCCTTTGCACTCGACGACTTTTTCGTTACAGAAAAATAGTAATTCGAAAACTTTCTGTCATAGAATCGACGAAATTTTTAAAATGGTAAATGAGAAATCATATGCAAATTAAGACGTAGAATTATTTTTCTTAGACATTCCACACATCGTTAGGTAATTTTATATTTGATATATTAATTAACGTCGATCTTTAGAATTTGATTCAATGGTGACTGAGTCATCTCTCGAATGCAAACAGTTAATCGTATTTTTGTGACGTAGTTCGCCTAAACCCCCAATTCTTATCTAATATTTATATAAACATTCGTTCTCGGAATCTAGGTCTTATAAACTTATTCACACCTTATATCCTAGATTGATTTTCGTATATACTTAAACTCATCTTTTCAACAGATTTAGGCATTGAATAATTTCAGTATTTCTATATTATGTTTAATGCGAACCAATCTTTTCAACAGATTTAGGCATTGAATAATTTCAGTATTTCTATATTATGTTTAATGCGAACCAATTGGGTGTCACATATGCAGCTCGTGTTTGTCATGTGCAAATCCGTGATACAAGTATGATTCGATATTAAAAGGTGACGGGTTAAGGAGGAAGACTCGGAAGACTTTAAGAACTGCGAGAAATATTAAACGCCATTTGTCACGTTTAATACTAATGATTCACGTACGGTCGTAAATCGAGGTTGCAAACGCGTATCCGTACAGAGTGATGAAATTTTACTTTGTTCAGGCCGATGATATGATGTCAATATTAAATAACGGACATTTGCACAGGAGTATATTTTACGATAGTTAATTGAAGCGAAAAAGATAAATGAAATTTTTGCACATTGAGTTGTTACAAAAGAGAGAAGGAATATTTTTATAAGTATAATAAATGTGTAAATTTTCCTCTTATCACTTTAGCTGTTTATCTTGTTACACATTGCATCTTGGAATTACTAAAATTACTTTCGAAAAACGAACTTGTATATTGCAAGTGAGAGCAATTAAAAGAATAATTAAATTCTCTATAGAAATATCGCAAAGCATAGAAAAATTTGGAAAGGAAATAAAAATATTGTTATTGTTGAAGGTATTATATTATTCATTGACCTTTTCCAATTAACATTGGAAATACTTTCTCGCTTTTCTTTGTGCTTTCAGGTATCTACGTTACTCCTTCATTAACGGTACTTCATTTTGCGTGTATACCTGTTAAACTTGTACTTTAATTAAACACGTTCTGTATTAATTGCTTATTATTTTGTATTTCACGTTAAAAATAATTCAAATTCGTATTATATTAGTTTCTTTAAATAAAACAAAAAATTGCTATTTATATCTAAAATTATTTTAATTGTTAATTTTTACATTTAAATTCGACTCATTATTGTATGCAAAGTAGAGATTATTTAACTCCTCGTTAATCTTTACAAAATTTCTTGACATTTTTTCCAATTGTAAAGATAAAGAAGTCATTTATTTCGATATTAGACCTATTAAAGCAATCAAAATGCCTGCTTTCAGAATTTTTATTATATTTTTATACTCAATGGAAGCTGCTACTGCAAGAATTAATTTTAATTCTTATTAAATACCCTTTATGCGATTATTATCAGTATCGTACAAAGGGCGGCTATCAAAATGAATTTTGAAAAGTACATTTCGCGATGGAAATTCGTAGATACGTGGAAACAGTTAAAGCTGTATTAAAGTTACACGCGTGAAGGATGTCTCCCCTGGTTTCTTAAATTTAGATTGTTTGTCGTGAATGTCCCGTGGTAAAACCTTGCTCTGTTAGTTTCTCGATGCATGACGGGAGGGTTCGGTTTGACAGCTTCGAATAACAGCATCAAATGTTTCATTGTGGAGCAGGAAAATCAAAGAAACCGCTGAACGCATTTTCTTTCTCCCTGTGCATCGCTTTGGTTCTGTGAACTTGAAAATTTTTCGTCTCCGACAGAAATATTCGACCGATGAGGTATATGCTTCGACCATCTCTTCTCTCTTCTAATTATTCGTTTTCGAAAATCATTCATTTCGTTTATTAATATTTGACCAATCGCTGACGCGATAGTTGCGATTTGTGAAGTTTAGAAAACTGACATAGTTGCATTTAAAAAGAAAGAAAAGAGAGATTGAATTTTGAGGTACAATGATACATAAAAGAGTATAGGAGGGATACATTTATTCTTTAATATCTTCTCCTATTTCTAACTGCTTTAATCTTTTGCGCTCAAAGATTACACTGATCAACGCGAATGTTATATATAATATTATAATATCCATTGGATAATTCTTGTAGAGTTTACTTTTCTGGAAACGAAACCTTAATCGAAATTGCTCTATCATTCTCAGTTTTCGAAAATTTTTTCGAGTTTTGCCAAAAACGCACGATTTTTCGCTAAAATGAAGTATTACATAAAAAGTAAGAACGTTAGAAGGTTCATTCTTGTTTTAAAAGTTAGGTTAGAGTATCTCGAGTTTATCAATGTTCATAATTATAATTATTCTTACTTTTGAACAATTATAATTGATCATCCGAATTTAAAAATAAGCCTTCGAACGTGCTTTCTATGCATTAGTATTACATTTTTACTAAAATTTCTTTATCTGGCACGAATTTGCTATACGGTATCGTATTCCGCAGGCTTGTCCGAAGAAGAAACCATGGAAAAAAATAGTCGAAACAGTTTTCATTTCGATTAAATCGAAAAAATATTCGTCGGCAACACGTATACGGTGTTTTACCGCCACGCAGTCATTGCTTCCCTAGTCTCGACAGTGCCGTAGCTACGGGTAATCGTGTCAAGTGCAATGGAGCTAACATGCAACAGTCTACGAGAAAAAGAATATAATTCATTATAACTACAGACACAAGTATATATGTATGTCATTTATGTATGCAGAAAATTATTCATAATTTTGATTTTCGTTTGTGATTTTTATACTGTTCACATTTAATGCGGTCAGTAATATATTAATTAATAATAAAGGAATTAATTATTAGTAAAGATAAACTGCTAAGTTTAATATTGCAGAGTCACACAGTCTCTACTTCGCTGGAGAGTACCTCGGAGTACTCAAATTCACTGCATTCTGTATTTTCGATTCGACTCTCAATAACGCGTAACTCTCGCAATCACAACTCTCGGTCTTAATTCTCTCTAAGGCTATCTTAATTCTCTCAATGACTATCTCAATTCCCTCAAGGACTACCTCAACTCTGCCTCTATCTTCCAGAGCTGGCCCTTTTAAGCCCGTTTGGAAGACAAGGACCTTCCCCGATGGAGGAGAAAAATCTCTCCACGTAACGCTCTGGGGTGGAAGGGATTCCTCCTTCAGGTTAGGCTTTCCGAAGGGTTACCTTCCCTAGAGGTGTCCGCGGACGCGTCACCCCCAGTTTACAATGGGGAAAACCGGGGTAGCGCGAGGCTACCTCGCGTGGCCTGGCCCCGACTTCCCGAGACTCGTCTGGCCGCGAGACACTAACGGGACCTCTATACCTGGCGAAGTCTAAAAATATCCTACAATTTAAATATTGTATACATATAATTACTGAATGTTCTTTTATGATATAAAAATAGTAAGGGATTAAAAAAAAGAATGTCTAATATGTTGAATAAAATGATACTTAGTACGAATCCTGTTAATAAATAAACTCAGTATAACCCTAATAAAATCTGTTGATACGGCACTGATTTCTTCAATAAGTTGTACATGGATAGAATTTCGATCAACGCCATCTATGATTTGGGCTCAAAAATCAAGAAAGTGATAGGAATATAGAATGTACAAGGAGGTCGTCTACACCTGGTCACGTGACAGACAAGGATAGAAAGCGGTTAGAAAAGGATAGAAGGCCTCCGACAGAGAAAAATTAATAAATTACTCAATTTCCGTAATTAATTTATGAACTTTTATAATTTCATTGCAAAGCTGAAACTTCAGGCTACATTCTTATATAATATTCGTAAAGAATTGAACTCTAAATTGTTAGTTATTAATTTTTGTTTTATGGCGTCTATGATTTCGTAACGACGACCATCACGATCTTCCGTGAAAATATTTAATACTCAACGAAACTAGAAGCAAAATGTGATCAAAAGTTATATGAGAAGATTCGCAAAAACATTGTTTTTCTAATGAGTGCATAAAGTTTCATAAATTAATTTCGTAAAGGATAGTAATTAATGACAAACCAATGGCGTCTGCGATCAATCGACCAATAATTCAAACACTGCGTAGAATAATAATTAATAATTAATTAATTAGGGATAAATTTCTATCGAAAAATATATGTGAAAGTTCTTGAAGGATCTGGCTTTACGTTGCAATTATAAAAGTTCATAAATTAATCACAGATATGGAGTAATTAGTGAATTTTCCACTGCCGATTTGATTTATTAAAATATATTCGGAGCACATAACCAGAGTTAGTAAACTGACATCAGAGCCATCTATGATT